TGTTTTTTTAGACAGTTTTTTATTTATGTAGAACTTTTTTTCTTTGTATTATTATAAATTTTAATTTTAATTTTATTTGTTTTATTTTTAATTTTTTTATTATCTTCATTTTCATTATATACTTTCATTATTTATTATTTTTTACACTACTAGTTCTTAAAGGTACCATTATTTAGTTTGTCGAAAGATTGTAAAATTGTTTTTTTCTTTGTCCTAACGGTCAATAATCATTCGGATTATTAACCAAGGGCAATAATGGATTAAAGATGGGTAAACACCGACACAAAAAGGTAAGGTTATATTCTTCACGGTTGTATTTCTGAGAAATAAAAGTGCTAGTAGTAAAAAAAATATTATATAGAACACGGTCGAATTTTTTCCTATAGCTTTTCACTTATTAATTCCCTCGGCGCTACGCCTCTCGGGTACCAATCAGCTGGGCTTTTTTTGGACAATATTTTATTTTTGAATCAGTATTACCAACCTGTCCACCACGTCGTGATGGTGCCCAAACTCGGCCACACTGTTCCTCCTGTGATGGGGGTGTGGCACGTGGAAGCCTCGCCCATACTCGGCGGCTAGTAAATTAGCCTCCGAGACACTTTTATTCCGGTTCCATTGATTATGAGTCCGGACTCCACCTTGTTGCATTGCCGCGAGAGGAATTCCGGGACTTCCCTAAAACCAATAATGGGTTAAATGGCCCGGAAAATTGTGGGAATCGCCCCACCCCGTGATAGTGTGTGTTTTGCATCCGGAAGTCTGGATCGGAGCGGTATTTCCGGTTTTGCTTGTAATTGGTCTCATTATCCGAACTATCGTAACCGGAACTGCCATCTCGCAAACCGCGAGTTTTTGGGCCTCTGAAAAATTCTCTAATAATACAAAAACCGGAGTTTTTCGGAAAAGGGGCACCTCGTGTGGGGGCGAGTCGAGGCATTCCGGACGAAATGTTGGGGAGTCCCCGAACGGTTGCTTCCGTTATGGTTCGGCGGAAACACACGAGGGAGCCCGAACTTCAAATACGTGTACATGTTGGAGCCCAAAGCCGACCTGGATTAAAAAAATTAATTCACAGCAATTTGAAACAAATACTAGTTACTTTGGGCCGTATCGCGGGTGTGATAAGATTGACTGAACGGTGGTGTCGCGTAATTGGAAGTTGCCATAAGGGAGGGGGCTTTTGTCAGTCGAGCCCAAGGCACTGTCAGTAAAATCCGAGTTGAGGTTTTGTCTGTAAAAAAATATTGATTTTGGGTAAAATTTTGGGTTTTTTGACCTGTAGATGGACCAGGCGTGGAGGTCTTCACTGGTGGTTCCTGAGAAAGCTCGCGAATCTGGGTTCGATGGTACTGAGTACTTTCGTTCCATTTCGAAGCCTTGCGAGCCACCCCCCTGCGAAGGGGTGCGACTTCGCACCATCTTGGCCTACAGGCAAGTTATTCTGTAAAAAAACGAAATAAACTCAAGCATTTCGAAGATTTATTTTATTTTTCTTCAGTTAGAAGAAAAGAGAGAAGCAAAAAGTGTTTCATAACTGTGATAAAAATGAGAATAAAACCAAAGTTGTGTTTTTGAAATAAACACCCTGTATGTTAGTTTAGTATAAAACAAAACAAAAAAATTGGAAAAAATTCTTATGGCTTTAGTTAGCTCCGTTTGACACTAAAATTATATTGTACTCTTTTGAAATAAACACTCTGTATACAACTAATCTATTTAATTCCACTAAAGTTTTGCAAATCTAAACCTTTGGTTAAATAAATTAAAATTGTTTTTATTGAAAAAAAATTCAAACCGAAGGTATCATAATTTTTTGAGGATTTTTTTTGAGAAAAGTCACATTGCAACTTCAGATTCAATTTAAATTAAAATTAATAATAAAAAGAAATTTTGAAACAAAAAGTAAAAAACATACGTTTGAAAAAATTATACAATCCAACTTTCAAAAATTCCATTAAAAGCAATACCGAGAGCAAAATGTTGACCAAAATCTTGGCTATTGATGTTTAACTATATATTTTCCTATTTTAAATTTTTTTAATAATTGTAAAATTAAATTAAATGAATTATTTTCGCATGATTATTTCATTTCATCTGACACAAAAAAATATTTTTAGAAATTTGATCAATTTTTTAAAAAAATACCAAAGCATGGTAATAAATAAATTATAACTTAGGCTTTTTTTGCTTTTTATGATCTAAAATCTGTTTCAATAAATTTCCTCTTTCCAGAAAGAATTTTTGTCAAAGATCCAATTTTGTAAAAATATTTTTTTTTCACAAAAATTTTAATTTCCACCGCGATATTAAAAAAAGTTTCCCAGATTTTAGCATTAATTTCTTAATAAAAAAATAAAATGCGAAATTTTTTATAAGAAATTAGAAATTAATCATCGTGTTTAAAAACTAATAAATCGTGTTTAAAAACACATAAATTTTGCTTTTTAAAACAATTACTAAATATATTTTTACACTTTTTCTTATTAATGATTGAGTCTGTTTCAAAATTTGAAAATCAAGTTATTTTTTCATTTTTTTAATCAAATTTTTTGGGTAAGCTCTTATTCAGATCAATGAGAACATTACTTCAATAGAAATTTTTTGTTTTTTTTAAGGGCAAAATTCTGGATTTTTAGTAAATCTTTGAATATGATGTAGCATTTTTTGCATTTCTGATGTTTTAAAATTTTAAATTAATTTTGTTTCACACTTTTGAAATATCATATAGTATTTTTAGTCCATTATTTCAGATCTATAAAAAATTGACATCTATAAAGATATAAAACGCAAAAACCGTCTTTTCTATTTTTTAACCATTGGTGTTGTTTTTTCAATTTAATAAATCAATTTCTCCGTCTTTTCACATCTATAAAAACGTTGGTTCAATAGAAATTTTATGTTTTGAATTTTAAATGCATTTTTGGTTTCTACTTCTGAGATATCATTTTCATTTAGTATTTTTTAAATTAAAGTCCATTTCAGATATATAAACAATTAATATTGGGAAAAATTCTTATGGCTTTAGTTAGTACTGTTTGACACAAAAACTGTATCGTACTTTTTTTGAAAATTCAAACCAAAGGCAATTATAATTTTTTGAGGATATTTTTTGAGAAAAGTTACATTGCAACTTCAGATTCAATTTAAAGTAAAATTAATAAAAAAAAAACAAATTTTGAAACATTGCGCTGAAATGCTAACTACATGTACACAAAAGTCACAAATAAACCTCGCATTTTTTTAAATAAAAATAAATGTTTCATCCGCAAACGTCACAAAAGTAACCACTTTTTAGTATGAGTAAATGCCACAAGTAAAAGTTTTACTTTTCAGCCATGGAGTAAAAATTCTATTTTTGCGCCTAAACGTTTTTACTTTTACTAGACATTATTGACATTTATACCAATGTTTTTCTTTTTTCTTTCGCTGTTTCAAGTTCATTGTAGCTCATCAGCATTCGACATTTTTCACTACTAACTGCACTAGTTAAATTAATAAACACTTTCAAAAATCTTAACACAAATTCCGATACTGACGCGTTTTGTTTGTTTATTAGCGTTGTTATGATTTTATTACTTGCAAAGCGTCCTAATTATTTTGTTTATTTACTTGCTAATTAGAGTATCTAAATACGTTTGCGAATAAAATAGTGTATGTTACAAAAACTATGGTTTTTACTCTTAATAACATAATATACTATTTTTCAGTTTTACAATTTTTTAGTTTTATTTTTAGTTCTATACATTTGAATGAAAATTCAAAAAACATCAATGGCAGTTTGAGTAAAACTTTAAAGGCAAAAGTGAAAATTTAATGAAAATTTCTTAATCGTCAATCTCTCAATTATGAATGTTCTTCTTTTTGTAGTGAGTTTAAAAAATTCACGTTTCCAGACTAAACACATTAGCGTGTTAATAGTGCATTTTAGTCACGTGATGCTAAGTAACAGCCTAGTTAAGCACTTAGTTAACTGTTAATGTCTTAAAAAGGCGCCTAAGTGTAAAAAACAAATTTAAGTAAACGAAACACGTTAAAACGCTTTAATTTTGATTTTTTTGTTAAATACTGCGAATCGTAAATTTGCATATTGCATGTGCATTAATCGAGGCCAATCGATGAGTGGCTTGCATCCTGCGCACGACTCGTCTATTTATTTTTTCTCCCACTTGAATAAATCCAACATTTGCATAAAAATGCCCATTGATGGAATGCAGTTAGCACAAAAACACACATCTACAATGCAAAAGTCGCCAGTTTTTATGCAAATCAAGCAGGAAGAGCAGAGTGTGATTTTTCCAGCGGCCGTTCACCTGAAGATCACTTTCGTCTGTTTGGGGCTCGAGGAGTAGTACTGCACGGTTGGGATATCATTGTTGCGGAGAGAATGGGGGGCCAGAGTCACTGGCCCCGTCACTAACCTCTTCAAGGTCCTCCTGCAGCCTCCTCGGCCACAAAACGCAGCCGACGAGAAAAAATAATCGAAATTTATTTTTATTTTTTCCACGCAACGAATTACACAACTCTACAAAAAAAATTGTCTTTGTCTTAACATTTATGTTGTGATTTTTCCATTCATTATGCTTTAAAATAAAGCAAAACACCCATATTTCTTAAAAAGTTTGCTTTTATGGTAGTTATGATAATAAACCCTATTTCTTGAGTAAGCACACAGACGTAGGTCTAACGTTTTTTATACGTTACAAGGGTTAAAATAACGTTATACGTGGAAATTTTCAACGTTGTTTTATGGTTGTATGACAATGTTTTATTATTAACGTTTATGTTACGTAGTTTGTTAACTAATTTTATTATTTTTACCAATTTATAACGTTAAAAGTACGTCTCAAATTAAATTTGTATATACGTAAAAAATGTTAAAGTTTTTTAACGTTATCGTTAGATTATATTTATTAACGTTTGTTTTGAACGTATAATTAACGTTTAAAAAATTTTGATTCGGCATTTATGCCACTGTCTAACGTTAGTATAACCTTTTATTTTAATAATATATTGACGTAAAAAACGTTAAAGTTGTTTAACGTTATCATTTGATTATATTTACTAACGTTTGTTTTGAACGTATAATTAACGTTTAAAAAATTTTGATTCGGCATTTATG